TTGATTTTGACAAATCTTCATATTACTAAGTAATAAAGAAGATATCTGTGAATTAACAATTTAAAGTGCAAATATGTACATGTATCTATATCATAAACATATTTCAGAGAGTTTCTGAAGCTCAAGAATCTACTTGTTATACTATACTTGTTATACATTTCAGTTCGAAAAGACACCTCAAATGACCTATTAACCATTTTACTGCAAATACGTAGACGCTAGATTACAATTGTATTAAAAAAACTTAATATTATTGAGTATGCATTCAATACTATTATTAACATTTTTATCGCTGTTCTAATTGGACGAATTGTAACCTTTGCCTGAACATGTGACGTCTGGTCATTGATAAACTTTACTAACAACATTTGCAAAGCAAATGTATTTGCTTGTTAGGGCAAAGACTAAATAAAACAGAGAATCGAATAATAATTTTCTTATAACATATAATCATCTTTCAGCTTTTTCTCTTAGTTTTTACTTGAGTATAAAAATTAAAAAGTCATGTTCATCAGTTGAGCGGAAAAAATACTTCATTTAGTTCAGTTTCTAGTGAACAGTTTCATGACCGATAATGTCAGTTTGAAATCAATGAAATAAAATCCATATTTCTCTGCTGCCCCCGACGCGGTATTAATTGTCTTTAAAATTGTTGGCAATTCTTTTAAATTCCATACGAACTTATTGGATGACAATCACTTGATAAAATACTTTAATGCTTGACTATTCGTTCTGAAAAATTCAGTCAACAGAGAAATGACCTACATAAAATTGTGGTGTTCGGGAATGAATTGATTGCCTATATCTCCATTTTTTTCAAATTTTGTTCAAAATACCCCTTAAAGGTGCTATTTCCTAGCGGCCGATTCAAGAGGGCTTCTCGGAATTTTGGGTATAACTTCTTTTTTATATTTTCTGAAAGGTGTAATCTTCATCATTCTAAAAATGTATATTATCTTGAAATTCATGAAGTGGTTCGACAAATATAGCAGAAATGCTGAAAATCGGTCGAGATCGGCCGCCGATTTTCCGCCGTTTTAAGCATTTTTGCTATACTTGCTGAACCACTTGATGAATTTTGAAAAAATATAAAAAAATTTAAAATCCGTTCAGTAGCTCAGTTATACCCAAAATTCAACTCTTGAATCGGCGACGAAAATTGGCCGCTAGGAAATAGCACCTTTATTATAACAACAAACCAAAATGTGATTCCCCAAAATTCATCAATTTATTCTTTGAATTGCTGGCATTGCCGTTTTTCGTTCAATTCACATGATTGTTTTGATGAATTTTTGTTAACAATCGAATTGATACAATTACACCAAATAATTAATACACATTGACTTATTATTTCAATGGAGTGCGTGTTTAGAAAATCAACAGTTTATTTTATCTCCTTTTGGGTAATTTACTTACGCCTGGGATCCGTATTCCACTGCTGCTAGCTGTGCGTGTGTTTGACAAACGACAAATGTTTGTTCGAGCAGCAAATGCAGCTGAAAGCAATTTCGTTGGATGCGAAATTGTATTTACAAACGCTAGCACCATTTTGTTTATATTTTGAACTTATATGAATTATTACAGTCGTTTCAAAGTTCAGATACTTTAGCCGATAAAAAAAATTTCAGTGTAAAAAATGATGAAGCAACAATTTTTAATGACATAAAACACAATTTGTGATGCAATGCACGTAAAACAATTAGATGGAAAAAAGGATGTGGGAAGTTGATGCGCTTACAGTTGATTGCTTCAAATGCTGAACGACAACTGATTCGAATTTTGAGTTGTATATTTAACAAATTGTTCATTCATATCAGCCGTAGAGAGAATCAACGCAAATAAATGAAATCAAATTGATTAAAATCGGTCAAGATACATGTACGTACGTACAGTTCAAGATTATACGGAACGTCTTTCCAGTTGTGTTTGAATGCAATCTTTTTTTTATCAGCATTCTTATCTCATTCAGGAAAGTAAGTCTGACCAACGATCAACATATGATCGACCTAAACATCATTATGGTTAATTTATTTACGCTTTGAAATTGATAACAAGTGTGATAGTGTGAATATTAGTACTCTTACAACTAAGATATTAATTAATTCAATCGAAAATATTTATCAATCGTTATTGTATTGTCTTGTATATATCAATCAGTTTCATATGCAAAACTTAATACTACTTATGTTTCATTCAATTTGGTTTTATTAAATACCAGAAATAAATATATTCTATTATACGTGTATTCACGCGTTCGTTTATTCAATAATAATGTAATGCCATTGGTTATCAGAAATAGCGCGATTTGTTGTTTGTTATTTCAAAATAGCACTCATGATGATATATTCTATCAGTTGGTGACAGAGAAAGGGAATGAAGAAGAGAAAAAACACCAAATATGCTTATTTGAACGTCACATAGCTGCACTCATAACCAAACTTGAACACATTTTATAAATGTGTCAGTTTTGATTATTCTCATACAATATAAATGTCAACGATATTTGACATTAGCAGTAAGATATTCAACCGTATTGTTCGTTGAATTCTGAATGCTCGTGATTGAAAAATGAATACAGGTACATTCCATGAATTATATCGTTTCAAAACTCAAGTTATTGATCAAATTGTTTTAGCTTCCGGACGAATCGAAAAAATCCCAAAGGAATATCAGCATGGCCTTCTATTTGCTGTTACTCAGGAAAACAAGTGTGTTGGAGTAAGACTTTTCTCTAACAACGGCCAGTCAAACGAGAATTCCAACATAAGACTAGATAACTACATTGATCAATCGGTTAAAAGAGCCATTGAATTGAAATCATCGGTTGAAGATGGACGTTGCGACTTTGAAAGAAATAGAGAAATCGTTCTGAGTACATCCACCAAATTTACAGATACTGAATCTCTCATTCGCTCACGGACAAAAGGTGAAAACGAAATTTACATACGGATTTGATTAAATATTCAAATGAGTCATTTTTGCAGGGATTCAACACACATTGATAGAAGTTGAAAATCGATTTATTGGCTTGGGCAAAATAATAATTCGGTCTGTTCAAACTGGAAAATGTGAATTGCTAAAATGTGAAATATGTTTAGGAGAAATGTACCGTAAGTTCAATGGGTGATGTAGCTTCAGACAAATTCTAATGAAACGTAAATTTCCGTTTATATAGTTCTATCCGAAAAAATGCTGACACCGCTCATGCTGAAAAAAAATCCAGAAATTGTTCGTGGAGTTTCAAAACTGTGTCGGTATACGGTTACAGACAAACGACGGCCCGGGCAATCGCGTACAGAATGCTCGAAGATTCGATCGTATGCAAATAAAACTTTTGGTGGCTTCAAGGTGATTATTTATATTTTTTCGCGCTTATTAATATTTTTTAACCAATTGCATCGTTATCAACTGTTGTGGTTTTTATGCTCATCATTTCTCCGATGCAGACGGTGATGGGGTACAAAAATGAAGAAGGTAAGGCCTGATCAATGGACTATGCACATAAAATCATAATAAGAAATTATTCCAAAGTCTGTAAATATTGATATCGCGATAGCAGAAAAATATTGAATGAAAATTGATTAATACATTTGGACTGAGTCAACAGTAAAGATTCCACATTTAACAGTGTGATGAAATTCAGTGAGATGAACAGAGAGATGAGAGAGAGCAACATACACATTTTGCACAACATACAGCGTACTGCATGACCAATACACATGCATAGCGGCCACTATTTCTTGACAGAATACAGTGTGCAAAAAAAGTTTTCAGCCACTTGGAAAAAATTTATATTTTCGGTTTTTTTCGTGTTATAAATGATAAACACTAGTGTTCTCAAGTCCGACCGACACCCAACTACCGACCGACTCCCGACCGACCACCGACCGACAATGTCGGGGTGTCGGTCGGTTATCGGTGAGCTGAGCATAGCTGATTGTCGGTCGGTTGTCGGGTCGAAAATTCGGCTCCGATGAGAACAATTTTTGTTCATGGACTATTTAGTGGTCTCTCTACATGTTAAAAT